TTATAAAACTATGCCCTTGTTTTGGCCCTTCTGAGAAGCTGCTCAGATACAAAAAGTTAGTATTCTCCAAAGTTTATTCAGAATTAGTTCAGTTTCTTTTTTATAGTTTAAAAAATATTATCAATAAATCTCCCCAGGCTTAAAATTAATTTCAAGTACTTAGACATACATTATATTCCAAAGCCAAATATCAAGACTTCAAACATGCTTGCTTTTTGCTAAATTTAGCTATAGTTTCCATCTTGAGCATAAATAATAGAAAACAGGACGAGATTTTAAAATTAGAAGATAGGTTCTGGGGCACCTGGTTGGCTCAGTAAGAAGAGTGGGAAATTCTTGGTCTTGGGATCATGAGTTCAAGCCCAACTTTGGGTGTAGTGATTACTAAAAAAATAAATACTTAAAAAAACAAGATAGGGGGCACCTGGGTGGCTCAATCATTGGGCATCTCCCTTCAGCTCAGGTCATGATCCCAGGGTCCTGGGATCAAGCCCTCCATCGGGCTCCCTGCTCGGCGGGAAGCCTGCTTCTCCCTCTCCCACTCCCCCTGCTTGTGTTCCCTCTCTTGCTATGTCTCTCTCTGTCAAATAAATAAATATCTTTAAAAAATAATAATAAAAAAATAAAAAACAAAATAGGTTCTTAGTCTGGAATCCACAAAAGCTACAAAGGGTTTAAAGGGTTGTACTTTACGCAGCGCAAAAGCTCTGACAAGCAGTAGATCACAATTTTAAAAGTGAAAAAGTAAACTGTTGCTTTGAAATATACCTCAACAAAGTATTATGTTGTACACACGGTGGGTAGGAGAAGATAATAAAAGAGACATGATCACGCTTATTTCTGCCAACATTTTAAGATAGAGGCTCTGTTATAACTACTCTTTTACAAATGAGGAAACTGAGGCCCAAAGAGATTACGTATCTTAAAAGGCAGTTAGAGGGCACCTGGGTGGCTCAGTTGGTTAAGCGACTGCCTTCGGCTCAGGTCATGATCCTGGAGTCCCTGGATGGAGTCCCACATCGGGCTCCCTGCTCGGTGGGGAGCCTGCTTCTCCCTCTGACCCTTCCCCCTCTCATGTGCTTTCTCTCTCTCATTCTCTCTCTCTCAAATAAATAAAATCTTTAAAAAAAAAAAAAAGGCAGCTAGAAACACCAAAGCCAGGTTTCAAACCCATGTCTATTTGCCTTGAATTTCATATTATTCTACTGCCTCTGAATAACAACTACTGTTAAGTGAAGAATCAGAGTACTCTAAGTTCATCAGGTATTAATTGGGACTGACCCAAACTTGAAAGCATTGGTATTTATGTGTAAAAGATTTTAGACTATAAAATCACTTAATAATACAGTCTATTTCTTTATCAATCATTGTATAACAAAAAGTCAAGCTCTTTGACATTTTCAACACTCCTATTCATTCCTCAATTGGCTTCTCCCCTCATCATTACACTGATAGTCCTTTTATTTTGGAAGATTTTATTTATTTATTTGACAGAGACAGTGTGAGAGGGAACACAAGCAGGGGGAGTGGCAGAGGGAGAATCAGGCTTCCCGCTGAGCAGGGAGCCCGAGGCAGGACTCCATCCCAGGACCCTGGGATCACGACCTGAGCCGAAGGCAGACGCTCAATGACCGAGCCACCCCAGGCGCTCCTGATAGTACTATTCTTAAGGCCTCCAGTAACCCTCAACTCCCAAATTCAGTGGATTTTCACCCGCCAACCCCCTCCTGACCTTATCACAGACCAAACCCAACCAACAATCTGCCACTTCAATGTTCCTCTCCTTCCCTGGGCACACTCTCAATTCTACTTCTTAATTTCCTTCCCTCTTCAGTTTCTTTCAGCAACCGAACCTTCTCCACTGCACAACCCATAGTGGCAAAAATCTGTGTGCACTTAAGATTTTAAGGAATCTTTGGCATTTCAATCCACAATACTTAACTATAAACTCCATGAAAGTGAGGTCTATTTGTTTTTGTGTTCCTTTAAGCATAAAATAAGACAGTCGGTGATTGTTGAACAAAATGAAAGCTACCTTTGCTGTAGCCTAAAACTAACATCTCACTGGAGCAGGTAGTACCAAAAAATGATACACATCTTTTTAAAAAAGTGGTACCTCACAAACTTTCTAAACAAAGAATAGGTGGGGCTAAATGAGTAGTTCCCCCCCTGCAGAGCAGATAAATCTTAAGGTCTCACATACCAGCCCTGAAACAGAATGAGTCTAATTATTTTAGGATGTCTTTAGTAAATTATCAGCTTTTCCCTGATTATTTTAAAACCATGACATCTTTTTCTTAATAAATTCAACTTTGAGTAATTTTGTTGTTGTTGCTGGAAAGAATTGTGAAATATCCTACTACCCATGAAGCATACCAAATTTAGAACTTTAATTTCAGCGTTAAATATACAACGAATCAAAAGCCTCATGATGTGTGAAGAGAAAATCATCTTAAACACAGTAATCACGCAATTCCTTTTTCATTTTAGAATCACAAAATCTTAGAAATGGGAAGAAACATGAAGGTTTTGTTTCAATTCCTGTTCAACCAATAATCATTTCTACAGAATCCTTCATAAATATTTTTGGAATCTCTGCCTGAATACTCAATCCTCTTATATTCTAATTACCTTTAAAAAGTAAATCTCTTTGCATTTTTAGGCACATAACACACGTAAGGTTTTATTTATTTTTTCAAAAAATTTATTTGACAGAGACACAGAGAGAGAGGGAACATAAACAGGGAGAGAGGGAGAAGCGGGCTTCCCACGAAGCGGGGCGCCCGATGTGGGGCTCGATCCCAGGACCCCGGGACCACGACCTGAGGGGAAGGCAAACGCCCAACGACTGAGCCACCCAGGTGCCCCAACACATAAGGTTTTAAAAAGGTTAGACCTAGGTGGCTCAGTCGGTTAAGCATCTGCCTTCGGCTCAGGTCATGATCCCAGGGTCCTCGGATGGAGCCCCCCATCAGGCTCCCTGCTCAGCGGGGAGTCTGCTTCTCCCTCTCCCTCTGCTGCCCCCCCCCTTGCTTGTGCTCGCTCTCTCTCAAACAAAATCTTTTTTAGTAAATAAAGGGCTAGACCGAGTGCCAGTAGGTTAAGTGGCAGACTTTTTTTTTTTTAAGATTTTATTTATTTGACAGAGAGGCAGCGAGAGAGGGAACACAAGCAGGGGGAGTGGGAGAGGGAGATGCAGGCTTCCTGCGGAGCAGGGAGCCCGATGCAGGGCTCGATCCCAGGACTCTGGGATCATGACCCGAGCTTAAGGCAGACGCTTAACGACTGAGCCACCCAGGAGCCCCGAGTGGCAGACTTCATTTTGGCACAGGTCATGATCTCAGGGTGGTGAGATGAGCTCCGGCACCGGCACCGGCACCGGCACCGGCACCGGCACCGGCTCCGCCTCCAGCTCCGCACTCAGCAAGGGAGTCAGCTTGAGACCGTCTCCCCTCGCCCTCTGCCCCTCCCCCCGCAAGTAAAAGTTCCCTAAAACAAGATTCATCTCTCCACGTCCAAGGTCCCTTTTACCTCCATAATTCTTCTCCTAGGGGAGCCAGCGCCTGGGTGGCTCAGTCGGTTAAGCGTCTGCCTTCCTCTGCCTTCGCATCAAGTCATGATCTCAGGGTCCTGGGATGAAGCCCCGCTGTGGGCTCCCTGCTCAGCAGGGAGTCGGCTTCTCCCTCTGCCCCTCCCCATGCTCATGCTTGCTTTCTTGCTCTCTTCCCCCCCCCACAATAAATCTTTTTTAAAAAAAAAGGGGGGGTGGGAGCTAATGGAGAAAAACATTAGTGTTTTTTTTTCTTTTCATTTTCTCACACAGGTAACAACATGGATGCTCAAAATCTCCAACCACATTAATCCAAGCTGGAGTTAATAAAATACAATAGTATCAATTAAGGGAACCTCTGTAACCCGTGTATTAACAGAATCAATGTAAAGGTGTGGGAATTTTATCTGGCTCAAAGATGAACTTGCTGGGAGGATCAATCTTGCTCCCCGTGAACCTAAGACAGATCCAATCACCCTAGCAGACAATCTGTGCCTGTTCAAGTTCCCTAAAAGAAGATTCATCTCTCTATGTCCAAGGTCCCTTTCACCTCCATAATTCTCCTCCTGGAACATGTCATTAATGAGAGGCATGACATTTCTGCTAGAAATGGTACATGATAAGAAATTACTTATCGAAAGAATTAATGGAAGAGTCTTCAACTATTCAAAAAAAAGTAATTTCATAAGAAAGATGACAATGGAATTGTACTCTCAAAAGCATCTTATTATAAAATACTTTGTTTTATCCAAATCAGAGTTAAGCCCTTTGTTTGGCATATACTGTACCTTTATTAGAAAATGATACCACTTGTAATGATTCTAATACTATTTTGGACTAATTTCAGGTCAAACTAATTTGAAACTTTTTCCAACTTTTAAATCCACAGGTAAAGCATCTTAGGTTATTATACTCACTCATGCAGCAGGCTAATATTGCTACTCGTAATCTATTTCTAAGTTCCCTAAACCTATCCTCCTCATAAATTCAAAGAGAGAAGGCCACTATGACACCTACAAGCTTTCCTTGAAGACTGATGTTTTACCTTTGTTTCTACTAGAAGCCTTATCACAAATGGTCATTTCCCAGGTTGCTCTCACTATTTCATTCCCTGTCCTCCACCTCCCCTCAACCCGAAAACTTAGCCTGGTCCATACTAGGCACTAAAAATCTTTCCTCCGGTAAGAGAAAAACAAGCTATAGTCTGCAAACATAACCGGTACATAACCGGTACAATCAATCCATCAATGTAAACAGATGATACATGGTACATCAAACCCAGGTCCATTTTGGTAAATTCCCTCCAAGGCCCAAACGTGTGTATTATGCAACAGCCACCATGCCAGATTCTAATCCCTGTGATGCAGTGATAAAACACAAATGTGGCACAAGTATAATCCACTAGGTACTTAGGTAGGTTTGCGATAAGATAAATCAAAACAAGAATTACCAAATTCTCAGGAACCCTGAAAATGACAAACTGTGACAGTTCTGAATCACAATTACAACTTTTCCTTCCGATAGTCTTCGAGAAACCTGTTCCGCCAGCCCCAACCCCCTCAAAAATCCTCACAAGGGAGTATTTTAATTGATGTTTCGAAAGGCTCTCTCAAAGGGGAAAGGGGGCCTGCATCAGGTAGTTATCGTAGAATCTAGTAATCTAAAATAATTTAAGCTACCCACACCGATTTCCAGGAGCTGAAAATGGAGTAAGATGTTTCATCATTTCTCCCAAAGGACAATAATGGGAGTAAATGTAAGCCAGGTCCCTGAAGCATAAACAACCCAGGGCTCAATGCTTCACCCATCGATCTCCTGGGGCACAGGCCTCGAAAAACTGCACAATGGGCAGCTAAGAATTAGAACAAAATTGCAATGACCTGCATTCTAGAAGAGAACCTATACGGTATCTAATCCAAAAGAAGTTGAAGGTAAGGGAGGTGGTCAGAGCATCTCCGGAGGCCACCTGCGTGGCTGAACCCGAGCCGAAACGCCTCAGCGCGCCGCCTCACCAGGTCCGCTCTTCGCCCCGCCGGGGCCACCGGCGAGCGCGGACAGGCTCCAGGTGGGGCGCAGTGGGAGGGGAGGGGGCTCGGCACGCAGCAGCTGGGGAGCCGAACGCGATCCGAGGACAGCCAAGAAGAAGGCGGCATTCCCTCACACAAAATGGTGGCGCTGACGAGGAGGCCGGCGCACCTGGGGGCGCGCCACACGCCCCTCGGGGGACCCGGCCGGCCGCCTGCAGCTGGACGCGCGCCCGGGGCCCGGGAGGCCGGCGTGGGCCTGCGCCGCGGCCGAGTCCTCAGGGCGGCCCGCAGTCCGCGGGTCCGAAGCCGGCGGGGCGCGGGGTCGGGCGCGGCGGCCTCGGCCTCAGGCCGAGGCCCCCGCCCCGGACGGGCTGCGCACTCACCTCGGACGCGCCTCCGGAGCCACCGGAGCCCGGGAAAGGAGGCGGAGCCGCGGGAATGAATGGAGCCGGCGGCTGCTCGCTGGCGACCCCCGGCCGGTCCCGGGCCGCGCCGCTCGCGGCTGCCAGGGCGGGTGCGGCCGCCCTCCCCTCGCCCGGGACGCCTGGCTCCTCGTCTGCGGGTCGGCCGCAGCCCACCGTGCCCTCCGCCGGCGTGACGCACTCGCGCCGCAGCGCCTCCAGCCTTTGCAGCCGCGCTGCGCCCGCGCCCACCGCGAATCCCCCCGCCCGCGCCGCGCGGCCCCTCCTCGGCGCCGGGGACGCCGCCCTGCCTCCCTCCGGGCCCGGCCTTCAGGCGACCGCCGGGCAGGTGCGGGCTCGGACAGCCGGGCGGGGGTGGGGGGGGCGCCGGGCTGCCCCCGCCTCGCCCCCGGAGCCCGCTCTCCGCCCGGGCCGCCGTCACAAGGCAGAGCGCGATGCCCCAGCTCAGGGCTATGGCCCCGTATTAAAGAGTGACCTTGGCTTAGATATAAAAATAGGTGCGGGTAAGCTGCGGGGACTACGACGCTGAATTTGCGCATTCCTTTAATGTCAACATTCACAGAATCCCGTTTGCACACTCCGGCGGAGCTCTCCTCCAGCGGGCCCTCCCAGAATTTACACTGACTGGGTGAGCTGGACCGTCCCGGCCTCGCCACTCGGATGCGGAGGGCGCGGGCGAGGACTGTGGGCCTGCGCCCCGCCACTTCCTTCCTAAACCCACTCCCACCGAGGAGGACGCAAGGGAAAAGGAAGTCGAGCTCTCCATTCATAACCTGGACAAGCCCGAGAGCCCCGACTTCCATCTTGAGATAATAAGGAATCACTAAATTCCCGCACTGACCTTTTCTCTTTCAGAATCTAGCACACGCAAACTAACCCTGACCCAAAAGGAAGGCGGCCCCATCCTCCTTTCCTCCCCTTGCCCTCCCAACTAACTTAAGGGCCCTTTTGTTAATTACACTCCCACGGAAGAAAGACACGCTCTCAAGCTTTTAAAGCATGGTAGATTTCTTAAAAGTAATGCATGCCATGGTTTAAGTATGTTTAGGAAATGTACTGAGGAACAGTATTGTATGTAAGTAATTTTAAGACTTCCTTTTATACATAAACTCTGGAAAATAAACTAATCCTCCAAGAGCCGTAGTGTTGTTTTCAGCTCATCCAGTAAATATGAAATTATTTCTTTCACTTGGAAATATTTAGCAATCACAATACCAGTCTTCAACAAATTTAATAGTGATCAACAAGATCAATAAATACTTCAGAGAATACTTGATAGTAACATATTGGACTCAGATTTTTTTAATCAAATAGGCTCCTCTGCCTCGAGCTTCTCTTAAGAAACAACCTCACATTTATTATGTTTAATAATATTTAGCAGAAATCTTAAATGTTACACATCAAACATTTGCCATTTATAGTGGACCTTAATAAACTAGACCTAACTGAGCAGGAATTTTGAATAGTTGGGGTTTTTGGGGGGGTGTTTTTTGTTTTTGATAGACAGCGAGAGAGGGAACACAAGCAGGGGGAGTGGGAGAGGGAGACGCGGGCTTCCCGCTGAGCAGGGAGCCCAATGTGGGGCTCGATCCCGTTCTGGGATCATGACCTGAGTTGAAGGCAGACACTTAATGACAGCCATCCAGGCGCCCCTGAATAGTTGGGTTTTATGCACAGCAAATGTTGAATGAATGAACTCCAAAAACTTTTGAATTTATATTTCTAAAGCTGTATATAAGTAGGAGTCCCTGTGATAATCCCAAACAAATGCCACCTTGGGAAGACATTCCTTTTTTTTTTGCTACCAGAGGCTACAGTTGTTGAAGCCTTAGGCCTCAGTGCAAAGCTAGCCAGAGCAACCTGTTCATAATGTTTGAAATGCATGACTTTTAGCTCTAATTTCTACAGGTGGGTACTTGCGCCTGGAAGGCCTGTTTTCCGAACGTCTGGCCACTCTGGTGGGAATCAGAACTACATACTCACCCAGCCCATCCAGGCAGCTAAACCAGCTCTCTTCCTGTGGCAAGGATCCTACCTTCTGAGACCCACTGAAGAAGTGCTGTCTCTTACTTATATGAGGAGTGTCTGATGAGGACTGGCTTCTCTTTTCTCTACTGCAACATTATGTGGCCTTGAGTGTTTAAGAAAAAAAAAAATCACCATTTACTTACCTCTTTGTCAGAGATTCATTAAATCTTGGTTGTCTGTTTACCCATACTCTTGAGGATCCATGAGACCTTAGTGGGCAGAGACATAAAAAAGTGAGTCTTTATCAGATTAATATATGCTGTAAACCATTACCAAAACATTTTGAAATATGTTTGAGGCTTTTGTCTAAAAAGTTTTGTAGAGTGTAAAAGGATTGATTTGTTTTGTTGTTGTATATGCTTGCTTTAATTATTTTGTTATAAGCAGAAAGAAACACAGTAAGAGTTTCCATTTCATTTTTAGTATATGTTAAAAGGGGAGTGGAACCATGTTTAGAGAAGCTTGCCACAACTGGATTTAGGAGGTTGCTGACACAAATGACCCGGCAAAGAGTCCTTAAATTTCCCTGGGAAAGAGGAATCTCTAATGGCTAAAATAATGGCTAGTGTTTTTGACTGCTAACAAATGGCCGGGCACTCTACTAACTTCTTTGTGGAAATAAACTCATCATCATCCTTCCAAGTACATACTACTGTTATCCCCATTTAACCTGAGAGAGATTGAGGCACACGGAGAAGCTAAGTAACTAGCCCATGATCACACAGCTAATAATCCTGGCAGTTTGGCTCAAGGCATATTCCCTTAACCAGGATCCTATACCACCTTTCAGGTGCACAAAATCCTATGCCATATGGCCATATGATTGGATTTTGCTTCTGAATCCCTAAAACATACCAAATACTCAGTGCCTTCATGATTAAGTTATTTCTTAGATCTACTAGTATATTCCTGGACATGAAGAGAGAAGTTAAACCCTTAGAAAACTTGTGAGACTTCCTCATATATGTTAAGCAAAATCGTATAATCTGTTGGTTTTGAAAGGAAAAAAAAGCTTTTCACATTTTTTAAGATTTTATTTATTTAAGAGAGTGAACAAGATAGAGAGCACGCGCGGGGGGGAAAGGGCAGAGGGCGAGGGAGAAGCAGACTCTCCTGCTGAGCAGGAAGCCCCATGCAGGGCTCTATCTGAGGACCCTGGGATCATGACATGAGCCAAAGGCAGACGGCTTAACGGACTGAGCCACCCAGGCGCCCCACTTTTCACATCTTTTAAGGGTAATTGCTCTCCATTGCTCTCCAAGTTTTTTTCAGGTTCCAGAGCACAATTATAAGTTTAATTTAAATTTATTTAGTGTATGGACAAAACACAATTCCCCAGAAGAGATCTGTTACCATCTTTGACCCTCTATTAGATTTACACGGGTAGAATTAGGATCTAATATATGGAATACATGTGTTTTAAATTCATAAAAATCACAGCGAGAAGTTTTTTGTTTTGTTTTTTATTTTATTTATTTATTTGACAGAGACACAGTGAGAGAGGGAACACAAGCAGGGGGAGTGGGAGAGGGAGAAGCAGGCTTCCCGCGGAGCAGGGAGCCTGATGCAGGGCTCGATCCCAGGACCCTGGGATCAGGACCTTTGCCGAAGGCAGACACTTAATGACTGAGCCACCCAGGTGCCCCTCACAATGAGAAGTTTTTAATGACTGAGGCAGCCCAGGGACTTCCAGATCCAAAATATTAGCCAATTAGTTAACCAATAATGTCAGACATGGCAAAGGAGCAATGAGAAAGCAATCTTTCCTCCTTGCACTAGAAGAAATGGGACTCCACATCCTAGAATACTTTGTTTATATCTCTGGTATATAAAATATGTCCCAGGAATGCTTTCAGAATTAAATGCAGCAGTTTGATGAGTTTTCTTTGTCAGGCACTACAACTATCTGCAGATTTCAAATTCCTGAGGGATACTCTGCACCACAGGTTGGGGGAAGGTAGAAAGAACCTGAAGAACAAGAGAAATAACAGGTTTGAGAAGCCCGGTTACACTTGTTTCTTCTGTTGGTTTG